TATATGGCTCCTCAAATGAGTCGGCCGCTTTTGGGAAAGTGGGTGAGAATCTGCTGAATGATGACGTTGTTCAAGCCTTGGTTGTTCCAGTTCATGGTGATTCATCCGAAGATAACGAGCATGATGATGACTGTGAGGAAGATGACGAAGCGATTCGTTTTCACTGAGGAATGTGTACCCTACCTTGTTGTTGGAAGTTGTACGGGACCTATCGATTGCTACTAGCGCTCTCTAACAAATGAGATGCTGGATCTCGTGGTTACAGATACAGAAATGAATATACAAAAAAAGATAAGAATAGGATAAAAATAAGGACTGGACCTTACCGTCGAGTAGGTGAACGGTTCCTGGGCATCTATCTCTACACGGTAATTACCAAACTGCAAGAATAAGTGACTACTAGTCTACGAAGCCTATTTTTTTTNTTTTTTTTGAGGGTTCTGTGGCGATTATAATCGTGGTCGGAGGTCGTTCTGAAGTCCTGCTGACAAATTTACAATTTGTAGACAACGAGAATACCGACAGAGGAAATCGTCTATATGATATTCAACAAAATTTGAACTTGCTCGAAACTCCCTTTCAATAATTGTACAAGCCATGAAAGGTTTTATTAATGAAACAATGGTACCATTTGAAAGAAGAATTGCATTTAAACAATGGAACAATTCTAAGAGTCACACCCTCACTTCAAAGTATATGCGCCTTTGCAAGTGAGGTGCAGTGAGATCGAACAGTTTGGAGCCAGGGCCCCAAACCTTTGAAGTGAGGGTTTGTGCTGGCACGGACTCCACAAGACAAGAAGATTAGCTATCGCAGTTGTAATGGAGATCATGGAAGATTATTCAGATCAAGGGAGAAATCTGTGCACTGATACTTGGTGTACACATCTGTCACAAGCAAGCTCTTTGCTTGCACGGAGAAACTATCTTAACAGATTCATCGGGACGTGCCGCGAAAAAAATTTCACTTGCAGTGAAAAAAAAGCTGTTAAAAAAATGCTTGCTGTTTCTACCAAAACGATCAAGGGGTGCTGCTTCTGAAGTGGCGAGACAAAAGGAGATCTAAATATGTACATGCTCAACAAGACACAACGGTTCTTGTGGTGTCTACGACAGTCCTAAAGTTGTGAAAGATTATGACTAGATAATGGGTTCTGTAGACCACAGTGATCAAATGGTCCCGCACACTTCATTTGTCAGGAAGACAGCGAAGTGGTACATAAGACTCTCCTTCCTTATGCTAATCCAGACTGTTCTTGTTAACGCCTGATGCTTTACGATCAGATTACAGGATGAAGTTGAACTAGTTTGAAATTCCAGTTGCTTAGATCCTGGTAGACTTCGATGAAAGGAACATCATAAATCATGAAAGAAAAGCTATCGAAGGACAAGAAGTTGACGTCGTTGAACGTCGAAACTGTAAAAGTTGTTACTGCAAAATGGTGAAGGATTTCAGAAGCTAGAATGCTAGGGGGCGCGCGATTCACGCGTAATCCCATTAGAGCTCTTCGCGCACGCAGCATCGTTTCAGTACCTTTCTGTTGAGATGGACCAAAATAATTCGCAGTAGTCCACGGCTTCATCACGAATTAGAGAAAATCTCTTTACTATGGCAGTGAAGCCCCTTCGAGATTAGGCATTTACCTTATAGGTCAACAANTCCTTCTGTAAACGGTAAACGTGCACAGTTTGTCATTTTTTTACTTATTACTTAAGACTTCTTATTTCTTCCATTATGATGGTAGGCATGAGGTTTTGGCGCATTTTGTGCGATAACCTCATTATATTGACGCGTGAATCGCACCACACCCAGTATGCTAGAGCGCATGCTAGGAAAGTGAAAGCCTAATGCGTTAACGGTCATGGCTTCTGCAATGTTCCCAGGATATACACAAATCTTGCGACTACCTGGGTTCTTTCAGTTGTACCCTATTGTCTATATATGTATGTATGTAATAAATTAGCTTCAATAAAACGAACATGTGGATCACGTTGAATATAATTACCATGCGGTTCGTTAATAAATATGGAGAAATTAAATAAGCTTCAAATGAGCAAACAAAGAAAAAAACATGGTGATACAACGTTGGCTGCCATTGCCCCATGCGCCAGTCATAGTGGCACCCACCAGAGTGGTGCCACTGACTGGCGTCAAAGGGTCAGTGTGAAACGAATTGCTCCGAGCATCAAAGAGCCTAATCAAAAGAGAAAGCAGTGAATCAAAATTTGACGCTTTTGCAGTCCCTGAAGAAGACGCCTCGCAGAATGTAGAGATCCTGCTTCCCACAAATCCGATCCGTGTTCTCAGGAATATAAAGAGTCACGCTTTGCACTGGTCTAAGCGCTGCTATGAGCTCACTTAATTCCATATCTTTTGTTATCGTCTATGTTAAACACTCACCTGTAACTGCCTCCATAACTCTGTTGGGGCAATTCTGAAACAAAAAATATACTCGAGCAATACGCCTAGCAACTAAATTCAAATGGCCTTCCGAGTTGTCGAGCCACCATTCATCCATCCACATAGGTTGACTTCAAATTCCACGTCTTCGCATTCAAAATGACGAATGGTCTTTTTCAGAGCGGCACTGTAAGTTTTCGTGGAATGGTTCCGTCTCGCCGATCCATTCCCACCTTGACAACAACTTTCTTATATAATGGCAAAACTGTGGTCACGAGGTTGTCGTAAAGCTCACCAAGCATCCTTACGTGTTGAATAGGGACACTCTGATTGCTCTGGGTTCGAATTCTCATTCAGAATTTGGAATTCAGAGTTCTGAACGTTCATCATTCCAAAGAAAGCCCTCGAAATTATCAAGGGCCTTCTTTGAAATGATGAACATCAGACACAAATCGACAACGTCGGACATCCTGTATTCTCGTGATACCTTATTCAACCTTATGGCAGTGTGGATGCGTCGATTCTACTGAACACTTTTCAAAACCCTGCTCCGTCGCTTGGCTGTCCCTCATCTAATGGTTTGACTGCCTTGTTGAGAATGACGCGTGTGGAAAGTACCAATACCGACTTGATCTCCCTTTTTATCCAGCAACACAGTCTTGCTGGTATTCACGACGTGGGCACATTGCGTTCCGATAAGTACCGCGTGAAGGGCCTTGCCCGGGTTTCGGTAATGACTGACGGAGGGCTCTTTAGATATTCTGCTTTGATCCTGTCGGAACCGGGCACCATACCATTTCTGATCAACTTGATGGCGTGCCGAATTTCGGAAGGAAGAACTGGAGGAGCGACATTTTAGCCTTGCCTAAGATGGTAGGTAGGCAAGTAGACGTGGCTGTCGAAGAGATCAGAATAGAAGACGTAAATGATCTTTCCCATTGACCTTCGAGATGCTGTGACTGTTCCGTCACAACGACGAATGAATTCACGTTGGTCTTGTGGTTGACGAAGCTCCGTTGGACTTTGCTTATGCTGGTAAGAACTGCTGCTCTTCTCTCTATCATATCTTTCTTTATCACTTCTCTGCATAGCTTCGCGTGTTAGGACATTAGTTAGGCATGCTTCGGCGAGAGACGATCTCCGTCTTCTCCGAAGCACTCTGTTCTGTGCTTTTATAGCATTATCGAGAAGAACTCCGACAAATTCGTTTTTTTGCCAGTGTTGCTGAGTCCAAACTCACCAGAAAATCGAGGTTCGAAGGAAGCGAAGTGGTCCCACATCATGAAGGTCTCGGGGCTTCGCTTCCTCAATTTTGCACTGGGAACAAAATCTAACTTGAGCTTCAAAAAACGTTTAGTCCTCTTTGAAAAGTCTTGACAGATCCATATAAAGCATAACGAGCTTCTCTCCTTCTCAGCTTGCATGTTGATGTATAGGCTGCGAAGATTGTTAGAGCTGATGATCAGCTACACCTTGATTGCTATTGCCTGGGGGTCAGGCTCCTGTACGAATCGATTTTCATGACCGGGTGATTTTCACGATGACACCTACGCCGCCGACGCCTCTGTTGCCATATGCTCATAGAAACAGTTCTTTTCCTTTCTAAAATATGGTATGCATATGCAATGAGAGAAATCTTCCCCTCTCGGTCAATCCAATGACGTCGTGCTCCATCTTTTTAGCTTTTGCTGTCGGATCTGCGATACACGCTTCCGATGCAAGCATTCGTAGGTTGAAAATACAGATCGCTGTCTTGGTCCTCTTCATTTTCCTTTTCCGTTTGGACCGCCTGTTTTCGTCTCGCAATTTCGGCAACCTCCCGAGCATACTGTTCAACGCTGCTGTATTGGGGTTCTCTCAGGTTCAGGGGGATTAGGCTCATTTATGTTATTATTCATGGCACATGGGTACCCACGAGTAGCTTGCCAGGCTCTGATGTAGAGGCTGGCTTGACCGCGGGTAGTTAGAAACCTAGCCTAGAAAAGACTACGGCTTCGATTTCTGAGGCTGCCTTGAGTCGCCTTCCGCATACTTCTCAGCAAACCGAACGCAAGTCTTTAGTTGAGTCGATGTGCAGGTTAATACTGCATCCGCAGACGCCCTCACACGCACGCGTTCATATACCCGCGATAGAAGAAATATCGACCCAGCACACCAGGTTTAGGGTCTCCATCCCCTCAATCTACCCGTGCGCCTCCGAACAAATACAGGTGACTTTTGGACGGCGATCCACTCCCTTCTCCGCCACCTGGCGTCTCGTCTACGTATCTTCGCCACCAATATTCTAGAAATTCTTTGATTAGAGATAATCGTCAGTGAACGAGACCCGTGAACATATTGATAGAAAAAAAATATGCTCAGCACATCTACACTACTAATTATATTCAAATGTCAAAAATTTAACGCACAGAGGTAGACTTTTGTACTTGTCCGCATTAACATCCCTGCGTTTTGAGATGGTCAGAATTCTAGTTACTCTGGTCAAGAGAGTGTTTCGACTCTGCCGTGGTGAAGAATGAAAACCAGCTCGAGCCGGTCCGGCTCACTGTATGATTAGTGAAAACAACAACTCTTGAGACGCCATTAAAATCACAGTTTAGGAACTCTCATCAGCCTGGGTTGACAGTAATGCACACGTTTTGGATGCGCGAGCACAACCGCATAGCCATGAAGTTAGCTGCGTTGAACCCACAGTGGACGGACGAAATTATCTATCAGGTGATTTATTACTTTTTCTAATAAACATTATAAATAGCATCGACTACAATGGCAGTCATTTCGTCTGTATTTCATACTTTGAAAACCTTATATTTGGTACTTAGTGAGGTTAAGGAACTAGCAACTTTTATGAAAGACATGATGTTAACAGGGTCCGCCCTCCCAATTGTAACTGCATCTGTACGGTACGGCTCGCGTCTTTGAATGCATCCTTCCTGCACGATCTATCTCCACACAACAGATCGTTTAACATTCAACGAAACTGCTTCGCAACTCACATCCCCCCGTCTTTTACACATGCAAGTGCAAAACAGGATTGTTCATGCTTACTTATAGGCGAACCCCTTTGGCGCGAGGAACGAAGCATTGGTGATTTAGAGATTCCCGAGATTTACGCGGCAAATTGCGTAGCAAATAAATACTTGCGTAGTGCTTTCATAACGATCAAAGCGATGTGCTTGTGAGCAGCTTTAACTCTGGGCTCTGTCACGGTTTTGTGCACATGCTTCACTTTTTGATGAGAAAGCCGGAGTCGTCCAGATTACCACGAGTTTGGCCCCGCAATTTGTCGCGTGTATCATCATCGGACGCACCAGTGTACCCATACCGCTTTGCACTTGCGCATGAACAATTCCGTTTTCACCTGCAGTTTCGAACGAGCTGCGTGATTTGGGATTTGTGGTGGAGGAGGGGGGGGGGCTGCGTTTCGTTCCGCGCGTAAGACAAAACTGATCATGCCGCAGTCGTCGCAAAAGCCCGCGATTTTTGACCGACGTCGCAGTTGTCGGTGGGGCATACGATTTGCGCTTAAACGGGCCGAAAAGAAGATAGCACGGACTAACGCAAGTCATTCACTGAATTGGCACCTAGCGCATTGTAATGTCACCTCGAGATCGCAATGGAGTGCGCCACGCGCGATGTGGGCGGATTGACCTAGTTTCGACTGACGCGCGGAATAGACGTTCTCCTTACCCCCTGGAAAGAGAGAACGTCCGTTACGCGCTCCGTTCGGAACTAGGTCACCCCGCCCTTTCCAAGCGCGGCGCAACCCAATGAGGTCTCAAGATGGCATTGCAGTACCACCAAGTGTCAGTTGAGCGAATGACTTGCGCTAGTCCGTGTTACCTTCTTTTTGAGCTTGCTGGCGTGGACCAAACTCAGTCCGTATGCTCGACAGACAAATACGATGTCCATAAAGTATCGCGGGCTCATCCGCCCATACGAGGGCTGCGGCGTGACCTAGTTTCGACAGACGGCACAACGGAGCGTGCACGTGGAGCCCAGAAGACGGTCTCATTGAGTTTTTGCGCCTAAGTTTCGACCACACCACCAAAAAGTTGCAGGCTTAACAACCTCAAGTGAAAATTTCACCAAGTTCTCTCAACACGGAAGTTTTGCTTTGCGTTTTTCAGGAAACACGTCGTATTGTTGTCGCTGAGCTACAGCATATAATCTTTTCCGAGTTCCTTCCGAAGTTGATTGGACTTGACCTCCTGAATGCTCAAGGACTCGTGCCGTTGAAGAGCGGCTACTATACCGGTATGCGCGTACATTTCCCAAAAATAAATCACACTATTTGCCCAAATCACTCGACCTATAACTCCACCTTCTTAATGTGCCGAAGCCAAAATTTCCTGCTGACTGAGATTTTTCCTTTTTCTTTAGGCTTGAAAAAAGTACAGGTGTTTACTGTACGGAAAAATTCGCTCGATGACGACCACTACTTCCGTTGCGATTCCTGTTTACCTTTTTTGCTGACGGTTTTCACGCTCTATATTCGAAGGAATGTAGTAAGCTGTAGTAAGCCAATGATTCTACAACAAATCGATTTATCCTTCGGTATTCTTGCGTCAAGGTTCCCAACATTTCTGATATATATANTCGCTCGATGACGACCACTACTTCCGTAGCGATTCCTGTTTACCTTTTTTGCTGACGGTTTTCACGCTCTATATTCGAAGGAATTCAAGCTGTAGTAAGCCAATGATTCTACAACAAATCGATTTATCCTTTGGTATTCTTGCGTCAAGGTTCCCAACATTTCTGATATATATATAATACATACGTACATACATACATACAGAGACACATACACACATGCACACAAATCTTGCTATACATAACGCGCTAATGTCTGTCGAGATTTGAGATTTCTTCCTCTAAGTTACACAGAGTTTCACACCGAGCTGTACCGATCCATGACACACGTGCGAGATCCAGAAATCCCCAATGGAAGACTGTCGGAGGTGAGAGTTGTAATTGTTAGCATGAAAGGGTACCACTCTTGGCCCCACAAAATCTCAGACTACCTCCGTACGGGCGGTCACGAATTTAATGCGCTTCTCGCAACACACGTGACATCCTACCTCCAGAAGGAGAATATCCTCAACCTGAGAAAAAACACACGGGTGGTCATTCTCCAATGAAGACCGGGATGATCATAACAACTACCCCCCATTCGACCGTGTTGAAATGAATATAATCCCTTCAGCACCGGTCGATCGAATAGGAGGCAAGGCGACACTGTGTCGCCGAAGATATTCACAGCCGTGTAGCATTGAGGTATGAAATCGCTAGATCATGACGGAAAGGGCATTCGTATAGAAGCATTACTCTCAATCTCCGTTCCTTGGACAGCATTGTTCTCTTTTCAAGCATCGTTGCGGATGCTAAGACTATGCCTGCTAAACGCAATGAAGCAGGAGGAGTGGTAGGGCTAGATCATTCAAACAAAGACACACTCCACGAAGAATGATGGCGAAGGTCGCATTCTTATCGACGGTACACCTATCAAGGGAACCTCGTCTTATGTCTTGGGCGTTCCATGAACATGGTACAACATGAAGGAAGATTTGGTAAGACGGCAATGAGCGGCCTGGACGTCCTTTTAATCTTTGAAAGAAGTCACCAATTATCTGGTTGATCCAGAAAATTTTTTTTCGATTCCACAGTCCTCCCCGCGCTCTATTACGCGTCGGAGACTTGGATGACCAGCGCATCCACCCCATGTACTTTGGACGTAAGTCACAGAGCACTCAAGCGATATCTTTTGAGGTGCAACCGGCTCACCCAATATTGGGCCGGGCTACATCGGCCTCGATATGCGCCGAATGTCTCGTCTTCTCGATTCTGTGGAGTACGTGAAAAATGCCAGATTTTGAAGGGTCTGTCTAATGAGAAGAAATAATGACAGATTACAAAAGGAACGGTTGAACGGGCTCTTGTATGGCTTTCACGGTCTGAGGGAATGCCTGCTGCAAAGTGTGCTGTGCTGTCGTCGATCACGTAAAGCAGCTGCGATAGCAGCTGAATGACATCTTACATCGCCATCTTCCTCGGATTCGGGGTCAGCCGTGGATGGCGATCGCGAAATACAGTAGCGAATGATTCTTTGTTGGTGCTCGCATGTAAATAAAGACGAGCTACCCTTACCATTTCAATATTTCAATCGCTATTATAATAATAGCGAAGTTCAGTGGGTATCAGTTCAGCTGAGTCTGGGCTCAGCAGCCGACCAATTGAGCGAGGCCATTTTAGAGACGAGCGAGTGCATGTGTGAAGTAAACTAGTTCGGAATAAAGTTCTACCTTCCCCTGGGAATTAAATGCTTTGGGAGAGGGACCTATTTTGTTTCGATCTTTTTGCAGTCCAACAAAAATTTTGATAGAGATCATAACCTGCCAATTAGTTTCCCTAGTGGCGTGTTGGGGTTCATACTGATCGCTTAAACTTATCTTATATCACGAGGCCAATACAGCCACTGGATGTTTATTTATTCTTGTCATGAAAAAAACAGAAAAAGATCAGGGGCATCACCTCATAGGATAGCGCGCGATTTAAACTTATGCGAAAACTTTCTCGACTCAACTCTTGCTGTACGCTAGAATCTTACTTACGGCATCCCATCAACTACTTAGGCACTCCCTTGAGTGATTTTGTACGCATACACAGTTCTGCCCTACATCGGTTTGGTAAGTAACTGATGAGCAGCGGGTCGAGACGGTTTTTTTGAATCGTTGCTTCCGTCGTAGAAAACTTGTCCGTGTCGATCTTGTTTGTTTTTTGCTGAAATACCCTATCTGTTAATAGAGTCATGAGTTATACTGGCGTGAATAGAGAGAGTTCGAGCAAAACAAACAAGGGAAAAAAANAAAAAAAGTTTCTACATTGCACGGTGCAGATTATAAAAGAGCCAATCTAGACATCAAAAGGTCATACAATGCGATAAAATTGTCATGAAGGTGTTTTCTAGCAGGCACATCTGCCCTCCTCTGTTCCTCTTCATAACTCCGTTCAGAATACCGGGAGATAAGGATTTATATAAGCATCTGGAAACCCGTTCAGCAATGAATTCTCAATTCGAATGGTCACTATGACAGAGTTTGCAATTCTTTTAGGGCTGGAGCTCATGAATCGCTAGCTGCTTGCAAGAAAAGTATCTCTCCTCATGCAAGATATGGTTCATGAAGCACCATAGCGATAGATTTCTTGGAAGAGATGGTGTAACTCTTAGGCTTAGTGAGGTGACCGCTGTGGCTTGTCCTGACAAAAGCCTATTTCTAGGCGTAGAGAAGCGCTATCCCTATTTTTGAATAACCTCAGCAGCCACTTAGCTCCATCATATAATCACCCAGATGTGTCGGATCCTCTTCTTAAATCACTACAAAGTGTCTTGATCGATAAATCAGCTTCGCTAGAGTTGATTAGTGTCTAGATTAATCTAGCACACTCATCAACTCTAGCAAAACCACAGAATGGCGTCCATCGGTTTTGAGGCACTACTGTTATCCTTTTTTCGTTTTTTTCCCTCATTGCACACAATTTTAACTCCTCCTTTACCCCTTGATCAGAAACACTAACTTATGACAAAAAAATGCCGTTGCTTTCCAGGATATGATGAAACCTGCGATGCATCCATCTCGCATCCATTCGCAACTGCTGCATTCCGTTTCGGTCATACTCTAATTCGGCGAATGTTTCCAAGAATGAACTATAATTACAAGTGAGCGCTTACGGTATTACTGTTCTTTGCTATTATTAGTGTTCTAACTGGAGAAAGTTGCTATTGGAAAACGCGGAAGATCCTTATGGGCATATCAGAAACGGTTGGATGGTAATGTTTTTTGACCGATATCCTACCAAGGAAGCTTTGCACTACTCTAGTAATCAGAGATGGAATACTGCTATGACCGTCCTCAAAGGCACAGTTCACGATGACCCCTTTTTGAGGTACCCCTTTCAGGTTGAAAAGGGTAGTGCTGATGTAGAAGAGTACATCGGTGGCGAAGAAAGCGAGAAAATTCGCTCATTTTAAGCTTTTTAAAGGTAGTGGAAGTGTAGGTTGGACGAGATGTCCGTGACGGGAATGGCATGCGGGGGGGGGGGGGGGGTTTGGACGAGATTTAACTTGCTCTCACTGCACAAAGAGATGTGTACATTAAGCCGAAATTGTCCGAAACTGCTCTTCACTGTCGTCATGGGTCATGACAAACTGTCTAAAATTCCTACATGGGAGTCTCTTGAGATAGTGCAGCCTCTGCAAAGCCATTCAAACTCGTTCTTCGTACCATACTTCCCGTTGTAAGCTCCGTTTTTCGATCTTACAACGGGAAGTATGGTACAAGGGGGAGCCTCGAATTCCTACTATGGGGGAATATCATCAACCAATTTTATCGTGAACTGTGCCTTTGGAATTCCTCATCAGAAGGCTTCTTGCTTCCGACCTGAACATTCATTTCCATGTTGGAGCGTTCCCTGTGTGTGAGTGATGAAACGCATCCATCTTCTACATTGACGCCATCCTCATGATTCATTGCTTTAATTTGACATTCCCGAATAGTTTTATTTTCTTACTAGATGAATTTCAGAAACATGAGCGAACCGATTGACCTCGCCGGACATTTTGGCCATGTTGGTCCTTTGTACGATCGCGAAGGAGGAGGTGAGTTTTGGCGTGAGGTTCAAGTAACCTTCTCTTTGCGCCCTTCGAAAAGTTCCACGTCAGTAAGCTCATGCAGAGCAGGAAAACGTCAAGACTCGTTTGGCTCTCCTTCTCTTATTACCGCGGTTGGACTGACTAGGGAATGATGAAACTCTGAAGTATGCATTAGTATGGAATGTGTACCGTTTCTGAACTGTAATCTTTATTCTTCTTCTGAACTTGTAAAAACATTTAGGGAGTTCACGGGAGAAGCATTCTTCCTTTAAAATGAGATACCTTCGTCTGGATAGATCAACAAGCCAATCAGAGCTGCTGCCATGCATCGTCGGCGTACTCAGAAATTGAGAAGATTTACAGGCGTTATATGGAAGTTCACATCGCACATGCTCCTTCTGCTTTTTTCGATATGTACGATTAACAATACAGACATGAAGAAGGATGGAGGTGGTGTAGTGGCAAGTGGCGCACTTCACACACGCATGGTTTGGATCCCGCTTGGGCCAACCATGCAGTGCATCCCTCCAGTGCCGGCAACTGATGCCAGATTTGTCTGGGAGAGTAAAAGCACTGACTCGTACATGAACTGGTCACCGCAAATCTTTGTATAGTCAACATATGCATTTAATACGCCACTTCGGTTCTGATTGGAATCGAATGCGTGGGCGCATTCCTCAGACGGGTTTGATTAATCCAAAAGACTTTATCCCTTATCCTTCAACACTGAACTAACACTGAACTTCAGACTGTCCCACTTGAAGGCACAGTTCACGATACTTTTGAGGTACTCTTTTTATGTTGAAGAGAGGAAGTGTTGATGTTGAGTAGTACATCGGTGCCGAAGAAAGTGAGGAAATCAGCCTACCTAAAGGTTTTTTGAAGTAGTTGAAGTGGAGATTGCACAAGATCGCCGTGACGAGAATGGTACGTAAGGGTGTTTGGACGAGATTTAACTTGCTCCCATTGTGCGAAGAGATGACTGAATCAAGCCGAAATTGTCCGAAGCCGCTTTTCACTGTCGCCATGGGTTATAATAAGTCGTTTGAACTTCCTACATGGCAGTCCCTTGAAATAGTGCAGCCTCTACAAAGCCGTTGAAACGTTCACCATGGGTGTGGCATTCGCACGATACGAACTTTGGCCCCTTATCGTACCATATCCGAAACGTTTTTCGATCTACAACGGCAGGTGTGGCCTAAGGGGGAGCCTCGCATTCGCACAACAAGGAAATCTCGGAAATCGTTTTTATTCTGAACTGTGCTCTTAAGAAGCAAAAGCGCATGTGGATCATGTTGAGCGCATAGATGTTCACCACACATGGGTTCCCGATAAATTTGACATGAAAGAAACTCACTGCAACCCATGCACCAAAAATGGGAAGCTAACCCGTGGTCAGGACCATCGCTTGGTCCGAAGACACGTCCGTTTCCCAGATAGACTTTCCTTCTTTTCTGTTCACTGAGGTAACTGATTAGACCCACAAATTGACCTCTCTCTTACCCACAAATTTCCTGAACATCCTAAAGTATCGCGTAGTCGTAGTATAGTTCATGTAAATCTCAAATTTGTTGATTGGGAACAAGAAGTGTGAGAGATGGCCACAATGACGTATGAACCTTCTACCTGAAGAGTCTTCAGATGAGAATACAGAGGTGACAGCTCCAGAAAATCTTCCCTAATAGATAAAAGGGTTCATCATTTTGGCGTTATTTTTTTTGTTCAACCCGTTGTTTGAAGACATAGCTGTGGAATGACTCCGGAAAAGGGTGAAGCTACAGAGTTCTTCGTTATTTATTTAGGTCTATCTAATTGCTTACATACTACGATTCAGGATTGGATTCAATGCTGATGGGACTGCTGGGCACTCCTTCAATGGCTTTCGATCGTCATATTACCAACGCTGTGAGGAACCACTTGTTCATGAGGCGTGGAGAGCCTACTAGTGGCATGGATCTTATTGGTTTGTTCTGACGATTTTCCAACGGAAAACTTGATTTCTAGTTTCGTTCTACTAGCACCATGGAAGAGGTCTCATGAAGCAAGAGAAAAACCTGTCAGGAAAATATTATTCTGTTGAACCCTTATTACTACGAAGTACAAAGTATTCCATCTGCTTCTATACTCGTTTGTAAAGATCCTGTTCCGGATGGTTGAGGCGTAGTGATGATAACTGTGATTAGATCTCTTTTAAAAAGCGGAACAAGCACTGACGCACATTTGGGAAATTTCGTTGAAATGGAGCGATTTATGCATTCTGCTTTTTTTGGAATACCAATATCAACACGCAGCAACTATTCGTGACACTCATCATTTAGCTGCACAATCGACCCCTTGCCAACCTAGTTCTTTCTTATTCAGGTCTCATGCCTTCACTTCTTTATGTACATGTTAGGTTGAGTCATAAGTCCTCGGACAAAGTGATAGTGATGACTTCTAGAGATCATAACTCCGGAAAGAGCAGACAAAAATGGACGCGCGTGGCATCTTTCGATAGAGTATGAAAAGCTCTTCCAAGTACATTTTGACGAACACACTTAACTGATTCCTTGCCTGCAACCATGCTCCATGATTTCAAGCCGTCGCAACTTCATCTCCGCAACACCATCCTATTTCTTTGTTTATCTGGCCAAAAACCCGCGGAGATCGATAGGCGTATGAAAGAGGTTTACAAGAAGGTGCTCCTGCTAGATGCCCGATTTACAGGTGGCACTTGAAGTTCACGTCAGAAGACTATTCCATCAGAGATAAATACCGTTCGGGACTCCTAATGGAGTTGGATTCGGACGGAGTCAGGTGGAAGCCGATCCGTATCAAACTACTCGTGAACTGGCAGTCACTCTTGGAGAGTCAGCCCACAGTTATTCGTGGATTGAAGTCAACCGGCAAGGTGCGAAAGCTCGATCGATGGGTGCCTCATGCTTTGAAGTAGTATGACATGAACTGCCGTGCCGACATGGCACCTTCTCTCCTCACGCTCAAGCGCAGGAAAAGGTCAGATTATTCGTTAGTATGTATTTGAAAGAGTTTTTATACTCTATTTGACGACGTCAATTTTCGTCACCTCTTTCCTGAGTTATGATCTCTAGAATTCATCACTATGACATTGTCCGAGGACTTATGACTCAGCCTAATACATTGTGTTCCGGATTTAACCCAGATTACGCATTTAGTTCTGAATATTTTGCGTGCACGTGATCATGGTGTGCAACCGTACAACGATTTGAGAGAATTCTGCGGCTTGAGAAGAGCCAGGACCTTTAGCGACCTCAAGGTATTTAATAAAGAGTAGTTCGTTCCAAAACAAGACAGCAGGGATCCAAAAAGTCGATCTTACAGCACGAGATGGATGCTGAGTCGGTAGCAGCATTATCGTCGTTATACGAATCAGTTGATGATATTGACTTGTTCCCCGGACTCGTCAGTGAAAGACCTCTCAAAGGAGCTTTGGTAAATTCCTGCAATTCGACATTTCTACGAAGTTTTTCAAGTCAACCTTTTGTTTCCCTTGTTCCATACCATAAAGTGGACTCAAATTAAATTCATATTCAAGTTGTTAGCTCCTTCCTGGAATTCTATACTATTCATCAAAATAAAACTGATCGGCAATCGTGTTTTTTCTTTGGCTTCTCACTTTCTATATGAGAAATATTTAGTTGGGACCAACTATGTCCTGTATTCTTGCCGAGCAATTTGGACGGTTGAAGAAGTGCGATCGCTTCTTCTATGAAAACGACGGCGTGGCCAAATTCAGCCCAGGTCAGTTTGTAGCAGTTGTTTACTTATAGGAACACATGAGAAATGCCTAATGAAAAGCTGCGTGAAGTAGGTCTTGGGAACATATTTCCGGTGAGAATGCCTCCTATGGCTAATACAGCTGCGCTTGAAGGCATGAGTCGCATTTCAGTGTAGAAGAAGAAAAAAGTTCGAGTTTGCAGGTACGGTAGAGTGGGATTACGATTGTAAGGCAAATTTTACTTGAGCACTTACTTTCCAAAAGCCAACGTAATTCATTCACATAGGTGCTTTAAGCGATTCGAGCGGAAAGGGCTACTGATCCAGAAGTTAGGACAACTACACAATGTACTGGTATTACAGTTTGTATTAAGGGCAACTCAGCGAGATCCGCAAAATTCGTCTTTCATCGATCCTTTGTGCCAACAGTCGATATTTGAGGACCATTCAACCAAACGTGTTCGACGTGCCAGATGATCTTATGTATGACTTTTATGCACTCTTTTACACTAAAACTTTCGCCTTCGTTTCCTCACTAATCCTCCGTTCTCCTGAACAAGAGCCATCGGCTGAACTACACAAGGAACGCAAACTCGTTTTGTACTTGCGGATGAGTCGACTGCAGTAGCTTGACATGCCACTGCAGTCGACTCATCAAGCTATACAACATTGACTCTTTATGATTAAAATAATTTTGTGCCGTACGAGGTTGTTAGGTGGAACAGTTTATTAGTCAACGGCCTAACGTTTCGACGCAATCGTCTTCTTCAGAGGCCTAAATGCAACTCGAGATGATTTGCACAATATCCAAGAAGCGCGTTATCTTCC